TGTTTTACACAATGTAACATGTGCTAAAGATCATCATTCTGACCTGAAAACATAGCGGCACCACTGACTCTCGCACAAGTCCTTTGGTCACTATATCGTCAATAGCTGCTCTCAAGGTCCATTCATTAGGCCGCGCCCCTGTTGGCCAGAACTTCTCCACCTTGCCAGCCTTGACAAACTGAGGGACATATTCACGGGGGTCTGTCTCACAAAGGACCCCTGCCATGCAGTTCAGGAGAGCACTGGGGTCCACACACACTGTTTTACAAGGGCCTTGGTTTGGGTCTTGATAGGATGGTGGAATGTTGAGTACCAAGATGCAGCCCTGGAAAAACATCAACCAATGTTTCACAAGAAAAAAAAAACTTTCCAAGATGTAGATATTGATGGGTCATTATTATCACTACTTAACAGTTGATGTTACAGTCATTTTTGTGACGCTGTATGTTATCATAGCAACAGTATGACCTGCTAAAAACACCCTTAATTTTAGCTTTAAGTACTTTTATTTCAAAAACAGCCTGGTGAAATCTTTCCTCTATTAACAAATTTTGATAAGCAGAAGAGCCACCTTAAATTTGCAAAAAATTAGAGGTGATTCTGAAACAGCCTTAAATGTCACAAATGTGCATAGGGTCAGCATGGCTGATCTTCATTGGCACTAGGCTTTCATTGTAGACGTCTAGGGTGCTGGGATTTAGTTTCAGATGTTCAGGTGCCAAAGACTTTTCCCATACCTTGAACTCTAGCACTGCCGTTGCTTGTTCAATGTCTACCTCTGCAACACCTGCATCTGATGCCAGCTGAAGGTAATGATCCCAGGAAACCAACACAGCATGGTTTTCACGCAACTGAAGAATTGCGCCATAGAGGTAGATAACACTTCGGCTGACGTCTTCTGCTAAATGAGGGAACAACTTGCTGTCCATCAGTGTTTGAGTAACAGCATGTTGTAGTTCTATCATACCCTTGAAAGACAAAAATGACAAATTAATAAAAAGCTCTTTCAAGATCTGGAGATTTATGAGGTTCTTGTACAAAACTAAAGACGTTTTCTCTATTTTTTTCCCAAACTATTCTTTTTTCCTAAAGCTTATGTCAAGAATTAGGGTAGAAAGAGCTTTGGAAAGAGCTTCTGGCTATTAAAGCTAAAATTTTGGTAGACATTTGACTAGCTGTCAAAGATTTTACAAAGCAATGGCTTATTGCAGTTTGAAAAAACTCCACACTCCAGAATGGATTTCCATACTTACAAGAATTCCACCCTTAACTGTACTTGTAAGCTCTGGAATAAGTCAGTAGATTTCTGCACTTCTTCCAAATCTTTTAACCACAAGTTCTGTAAAATCTTATGACAAAATAATTCCAAAAAACAACAAAGCTACTAAGTTACCTTTCCTTTCAATGTGCTCACAAAGTATACTTGTTCTGGTAGTCTGGACCAGTTTTGGACAAGGCTCTGCAGTCTGTTAATTCTTGATTCCACACATTTTTCTTGTCTCAGATCCCTACCACAAGTCAGAGTTCGATAATTAATCATGTACAGTTGACTCCTGATAACTCAAACCCTTGCTAACTTGAACCTTATGCTGACTCAAACCAAACTCGATTTTCCCTGGATTTCTGTCATCCTTTTAATGTGGTTAAATGTAATTTAAGCTAAGTTAAACGTGAAACAATGCTGGTCAGCAGCCTTCCCCTGTTTTGGACATGCGCAGTGGTGTGGGGTCTGCTGGGGGTCGTGTGATTTTACAGTGTGGCTTTTGAGGTCAACTCATTCTCACGTGCATTTGTGCCGTTTCGACTGTGCTTGGCGAATTCTCACCTCCCAATAATTCAACTCCAGATAACTCACAGATAACTTGAACCTTTTTTCAGTTTCCCTTGAAGGGTTGAGTTATTGGGAGTTGACTGTATAATAATGTCAGTAACAAGGAGGTGAACCATTCTCAGTCAGTCACTTATTTATAATACACCACCATAATAAAAAAAAAAAAATAAGTAAAAAAAAATTATCTTAATCGACCACACCCCCAATGGGGTTTTTCAGGGCTAGTGGAAACAAATTATGAAAGAAATAAAATGTAAATGAACATAACACGGTTAAAAATCCCAACTGGCAGGAGGCGGACCAGTTAGTTATTTACAAGCGTGACCAAGGAGTTGAACTCAGGACTACCGAGAACAAGACCAGCTGGTGGTCAGAACGGGACTTGAACCCATGACCTCAGGATTTCAAGTTCGACGCCCTAACCACTCAGCCATGCTGACTCCTAATGATGTTTGAGAGGTGATGCTTTGAGTGGTAGCCTATTGGAATCATTAGTTTGGCCTCAGAAAGTGTCAATCTGACCTCTTGATGCTAACAATGACAGAATTTCATCTTCAACAATGTATATTTTAACTTTGCCATAACTGAAAGCTACACATACTTTAACATGTCTATTTCTGCCATGAACTCTTGTCTGCAGTTGTCATCTGCCTTTTTGACAGCCTGAAGGACTTCATCACCAAGAGCGCTCCGATCTTCATTGCTGTCAGCATGTGTTCCTACAAGGATGAATGGCGAGGCCAACGCCTGAAAAATAACAAGCAAAATCCACTCAAAATTTGCATGGATGAGTCGTGAAATCAAGGTTAAGAAACACTTCTTATGCTTTCAAAAAGTAGGTAAGTCTCCGAAAATGAGGTTCAATATTAAAATAATGGTAATTGACCATAATGATACACCAATTCAAAATTCAGATAACATGGCCATATGACAAACCCAGCACACCTTTGATCGCATCAGTAGCATCCAGTGTATGACAGAGTCAATCTTGAATGGATCACGCACGTTAAACACAATGGCATAAAGTGACTGCTCACACAGAAACAGAGGGTGGACACCTTGAAGGCACTGTGCAAAATAAGACAAAACACTAGATGTTTAGTTCTTTTAATTTACTTCTCAAACTTATTTAATTGAATAATATGATCAAGTCAAAACAAAGAAAACCACAATCATGAAGGGGGTTTTGACACCCCATCTTATTAGCATAGACGTTGACAATTTTACTTCAATCTCCGTTTACTCCTTAGTTTTTGTTTCGATTGAGAAGATAAATTATATCAGACAATTGAGACAGTGTTTCATTGGCCAGTCAAACACCTCAATTTTTTTCAAAAATACTCCACTGCACGTCAAATTTTCAACTCTTTTCTCAGTGGTTGGATATCCCAATGAAACACTCTTTCTCGTGTTTGATATATTACATCCGAATACTTGGTACATGACTGTGTAGGTATGTTCATTGTACACAATTGTATAAAGACTATCCAGCTGGTAAAAACCCTGTTATCTAGAAACATTTGAAATCTGTAAAGAACTTTGAAGATCCTTGATGGATTTTCACCAGGCAATATCCCCAGGTGCCCTGTACATATGTAGAGTACAAGGAGTTGATGATTAAATTCTTAATTCTCACCACCTGCCTGCTTTACAGTGTACGTGTACTTTGTACTGAGATTGTAAGGAGAAAACAGTGTGTGGATCACAACTTAAG